AAGGGAGGCTGTTCGCGGGCGGTGAGATTTTCAAGATTTTCAAAAAAATAGTTTTAACTAGCAAAAAAAGTTTAAAAAGTTAAATTTTCAGGAGAGTTTAAAAAGTTTAAAAAGTTAGGGTTAGGGGTTAGGAGTTAGTGGTTAGGGTTAGTGTTAGGAGCTGCGAATTTATTATTATGATAAATCAAAATGTTTCGCGAATTTATCAAAATGATAAATTCGGACGTGTTTAAGAATTTACTCATATAGTAAATTCAAAGGTGGAGCTCATGCTGTTATTTTGCAACCCTTGCCGTCGCCTAATCTAGATAGCAAGTCGATGATTTAGAATAAAGAGGTTCTTCCCAAAACCATTTGAACTTGGTCTCGGCCCAAAGAGAGGTGATGTATAAGATACAGACAGCTTGTCTGCTATAAGCAATTATACACTCTACCGTGGGATATTATAGTATCTCACGCTACATTGGGAAATGATGAATCTGAGTGAAATACCGTAAAAAATCACATTGTCACGTGGTACAAACGCTGTTTTTGATTGGATAATTTGAATTTGAGGTATAATACCGTAAACCTCCGACTATAAGACCCCCCGAATATAAGCATATTACTAACAAATTATAAACATAAACATACCTTTCGCCGAACATAACTTCGGTCCCTTGAGACGTATGCTCATTGGGACACTCCTGTTCGATTAACCATTCGAAATGCTTTATACTGTGCTATTTTCAACCTTCTATCTGTAAACTAGCCATTTATTACCAGATTTACATTTCTGGTCAGAGTTTGATTTTATCCAAACCGGAAATACGACTTAAACATGTCGAAACAATGCGACGTTTGTATCGTATAACCCTGCAGAGGCCAGAAATGGATTCTACAGGTCAAATTGCACCTATACGCGTGAGTTTGACGTCATCCCGGCTAAAGGAGCTCCTTATTGGCCAAGTATTACGCAATGCACGCGCGTGCGAGTAAAACCCGATATCTTGAAAAATTCAAAATAAATATTTCTACTCGCTGTATTCATACAAACTTTCTACACGAAAGCGGCAAGCGCTTGAATACAAAGAGTATTTTACTCATATAGGCTTTTAGAAAATGACAAAAAGTTTAGAAAATATTCAACTTTTTCTCGATATGTCGAACAGAATGTTTGGCCAAGCTGTGAGTATAAATATATGATTGTTTTGGTTTGTGTAATGTTATGACGGAATTTGGTTTTCAAGGGTGGTAAATACCCGCCAAGATATTTACATTAGAAACATTGACTCGTAATGTAATGCGAAACCTGCTGTCGTCCAGGGTTGTCGAGAAAGAGTTTTTAAATCAAAGCGCGTTATTAATACATGTTTATTTTCCTGTTTATGACTGACTTGTTTATGTCTGACTTGTTTATTACTAACACAAAAGATCGTCCATGTATTAGCCCCTCGGTATATAAGCCCCCCCCCCCCGTATAAGGCTTCGCCTTGTATAAGCCTATCAAAAATCGCTTACGAAAGTATGTAAGCCCAAGGCTTATAGTCGGAGGTTTACGGTATAATTATATATTCATTTCTTTTGAATTTTCTTCATGAATTATTTTAAAATTGCAGTATTAATTTTGAATTATTAGAGTTTTTAAATGTTTTAAACTACTCCTTATAGACATTCAAGAACATGTCGAAAATTGAGTTGGTGATTTTTGCATTAATTGTGCTGGCCAAGGAATCTAGCTCTCAGCAATGCCCATGTAAGTACAGTTTTGGTATTAAATTTCTTTTTTGGCGCTGAATTTCCTTATTGACACTGAAATTTTTTGCACTGTATTTCGATAAAATTGCACTGCTCTTATAGTCAGTCAGAAACGAGTATTTGTTTCATTGTAATTGAGAGTAATTATATTATTGTCGACAAAACAAAACTATTAGCTGCACTAAAGCAAATACAACAAATTTTAAAACAAAAATTAGTTTTGCTTGCGCTGTTATACTTGATAAGAATATAACAATGTATACGCTATAGCTTTGAATTTGGCAACACAAATTTGAGAGTTTTTTTCAAAGGAATTAAATGGTAATAAAGATATATCATTTGGGTTGCATCGCAAGCGCCATTTATCGATACTTAAAATTCCTTAAATAATCCGTATATCGTACTTGTAGGTAATGATGGCTTGAACTTTGTTGGTGACAACGTGAACGAATACGGCATATCCCGAGGATTAGAGAAGTCGTTAACTGCCGTCACTGCGTGTTTTTGGATGAACATTTCTCCCTGTTATGCAGAAGATCATGGACCAACTATTTTGTCGTATGCAACCCACCAGTCAGATAATGAGCTAATCATTTGGGTTAAGCCAACCCTAAAAGTGGCTCGCGGAAGTGTATGGGCTGAGTATGTGACAAAATAATACTTGCTATCAAATATTAGTTGATTTTACCATGCACTGTGTCGTGCAGCACTATATATAGGTACAGGTTAATTCGCAGTTTAGAGATTGAGAAGATTCTCAGATTCATTATCTGTAGTCGTTCTGTTTTCTTATGAAAAATAAATTGAGAAAAGTGACTAATTTTGTTGTTCAAAAGCGTTCATGCAAAACTTAGAATCTTTTTCCGGTCTACCTCGGTCTCAAAGTTATTTTGTTGTAGCTTTAATTTCTAGTTTATACTGTTGGCTACGCCGGCTACCATTTTGAATGAATTTAAGATAATTAAAAATTGACGTAGTATTTACAGCTGCTGCATTATAAACCGAACTTTGACAAACTCGAGTTATGTGCTCGTTATGTGCACTCAAAAACAGGCAAGTTGCTACTACAGACCTGCAAACAGTTTAACAGGATTGTTCTCAAGCCGATTTTAGAGACCTTACGATTTAGGACGGCAACGGTTACCAATACAATAAATCATTGAAAAGAATTGAGTAATTACAATATATGAATAATTTAGACATTGTCCTTCGCTCTGTTTACAACGTCAAATCACAGATTTTCACGTCTTGATACAACGGCTGCGGCATTTGAAGCCGCAACAAGTGCAACTTCAACTGACTGGGTTTAGCAGAACTCTTCCCAACCATAAAACACATGTCTTCAACTTCTAAGACTGTATTAAATTCATACGATTGATAATATAGACGAATTTATTTATCTTTACTACCATTTATTTGAAGGAGTTTGTTTTGGCCTTCGTCGTCGCGTTGCCGTCCTAAAATCGTAAGGTCTCTATTAATAGAGAGGCTCCGATTTGACTTCCGCTACCGCTACGATTAAGGGCCTATATATATATATATATATATATATATATATATATATATATATATATATATATATATATATATATATATATATATATATATATATATATA